AGCATCCGCACAGCTGCCTCCAGTTCACCCAATCAACTGGTTGTTCTTTCTGACAGGCAGAGTGGACAGTGAGAAAGAGAGAGACAGAGAGAAAGGTCTTCCTTTGCCGTTGATTCACCCTCCAATGGCCACCGCGGCCAGCGCACTGTGGCTGGCGCACCGCGCTGATCCGAAGCCAGGAGCCAGGTGCTTCTCCTGGTCTCCCATGGGGTGCAGGACCCAAGCACTTGGGCCATCCTCCACTGCACTCCCTGGCCACAGCAGAGAGCTGGCCTGGAAGAGGGGCAACCGGGACAGAATCCGGTGCCCCGACCGGGACTAGAACCCGGTGTGCCGGCGCCACAAGGCAGAGGATTAGCCTAGTGAGCCGCGGCGCCGGCTTCTAATTCTCTTTCCAGAAGTTTCCAATGCTATTTAGACGAGGAATTTGATTCTTTCCAGAAAGAGCAAAGCTTCTACTTGGCCAAAGGGAGAGAATGAGCAATTCAGCAAAATACACCAGCCTTAGACAAGGTCCCTCGGACAGAAGAGGGGATGCTCTTGTGGTCCCTGGGAGCCCCTGGGTCTCTGCGGTGCCCCCTCCCAGCTCAGAGCTCGTCCAGTGATTGCTAAGTGTGGATGTGTCCTAGAGACATGTTTTATTTGGACTCAATGGTGTTATGTATAAAACTTAAAAGCAGTTGACAAGACTTATCAATTGGCATATTTCACATAAAAATTCAGACTCCTTGCTTCTCTTGAAGAATCAGAATATCTGGGGCCAGTGTAGGCACAGCTGGTCAAGCCACCGCCCATCCAAGTGCCAGTTGAGTCCTGACTTTTCAGCTTCTGATTCAGCTCCTGCTAACATGCCTGGGAAGGCAGCATATGACCGCCCAGGTACTTGGGCCCCTGCACCCACATGGAGACCTGGAAGGAGTTCCAGGCTCCTGGCTTCTGCCTGGCCCAGCCCCAGCTGTTGCAGCCATTTGGGGAGTGACCCATCAGATGGAAGAGCTCACTCTGTCTGTCTCTCCTTCTTTCACTGTACCTCTACTTTTCAAATAAGTATATCTTTGGAAAAAAGAAAGATCAGAAAATGTAGCAATAGCAGTCCTACATACGGATTTCCTGCTCCAGGCAGGGCCAGACTCCTGACTACTCCTATCCTAGACATCTGCTGGCCCCGAAGTCATTGAGGTCATGACACTAGGCCTAAACTGCCCAGGACAGCGAACCTACTTGATCTGAGCACTCAGACTCAGATCATGGGGCATGCACAGCACTTGACCGAAGTTAACTGTGAACTTCTCAAGAAAAACCAGTTACTGAATAAATTAATAGCATCAATAAAATTTCAAGAGGATGTGGTTTTGCTTTTTTTTTTTTTTAAGCTTTCAGTACTGCAGCAGGCCTGAAGGGTATTATTAGCACAGCTGGAAGGTTTATCAGCAGTGACGGTAAAGGACAGGTGGTGCCAAAGGCAGAGGCCTGGGGCTGCATGAGGTGGGACTTCTGTTCTAATTATACAGTGCTGAAAAAAGTTCACAGAAAATGCAGATTGTGGGAGGATGAAATGCTGCATGGATGTCAAGGATTTTTTGCATAAAAATAAATTTCTCTCGTAATTCCACTTTTTCGTGAACTTTTGGAAGACCCCATGTAAGAGCCTGAGCATTGTCTTCACCAGGGACCTGGTGTTGTAACAATAGTGAGTAAGAACCAACAGCTGCTGGGCTCGGGCTGCCTGCAAAGTAGTCTGTCCAGCACCTGGCAGGCATCCTCTGTTGGCATCACACACCGAGCCCTGAGGTCAAGCACGAGTGTCAGCCCCAAAGCACGGCGGGGGGAGGGGTTGGTGGCCCGTCCAAAGTCAGACAGTGAAAGACAGAGCCAGGAGTGGAAGCCCACTCACTCCAGAGCCTACACCTGTGTCTGCTGTCCAGGGACACTTCCACCTGCAGAGGGCTGGCGTGCGAAATAAACAAGACCCAGCTCGCCAAGTGCGTGTGTTAAAGGGCCACAGTGATGTTTACTATTATACCTCGAGCACTGCAAACTATTTTTTTTTAGAATGAATGTTTTAACTTAAAAATCATTTCATTTAAATTGTGAACTTTTTGAGTTGAGGAAGCTGGAACAGACACATCATTAGTCCTGTAGCGCCCTCTGCTGACAATGGTCAGGAAACTTCAGCAATGCTGACAGCCCGGGATGCTCACTTCCTCGGTCTCCTTGACCCACGTTTCCGGAGCACCTCCTTTGTCCTGAGCATTGTCCTAACGTTGTGTGGTTAGAGACACGCATGGAGGGCACGGGAGATGGTGTTTCAGCCACACATTGCACTGTGGTTTAGGTGTAGAAGGAAAGCAGAGAGAGCTACAGGCAAGAGGAGCCTGCAGTTCGTCATGTCATACATCTCGGGGCCAGGCACTTGGCTGAGAGGTCAAGATTCTACTTAAGACCCCAGCATCCTACATGAGAGTGCCTGGCTTCAAGTGCTAGCGCCGGCTCCCGCCAGCGTAGACCCTGAGTGGAGTAGGTGATGGCTGAAGTAATTGGGTCTCTACCCTGGATTGAGTTTCCAGCTCCTGGCTTTGGCCCCCACACAGTCCTGGCCATCAGCCATTGTAAGCATTTGGGGGTGAACCAGTGAGTGGGTGTGAGCTCTCTCGCTCGCTCTCTCTCCACCTCCCAAATAAAACAATAGTAATAATACATCCCAAACTAAGAAACTACTGTTCAGCGCTTGCTAGGTAATTCCCATCATGATGTCACAGACAGGAGGCCAAAGTCAGCCATCGTGGTCCTCATGGGCACGGCCGCGTCAGCCTCAGCCCGGCAAGGTGAGATGCAGTGGAAACAGCCCCTGAGCATCCTGGGGTGCACTGGCCCAGGTTCCACATTCCCTCTCCCTCCCTCCTTCCCAGCCCTTTTCATGTCTAGCCACCTGGAGAAAGAGAATGTCCTGAACCCCCTCCCTGCCCCCACCTCCCAGGTCCCTCCCTTGCTCTGCGCAGGCCTCACTGTAGCAGGGGGCACCTCCTGGCTCCTGGAGGACCCTAGAGATGTTTAAATCACTGTGTTCGAGAATCAGAAAGACAGAGATAGAGGTAGAGAGAGAGAGGGAGCTCCCGTCTGCTGGCTCATTTCCCAAACGTCCCAATCAGTCAGGACTGGGCTAGGGCTGAAGGCAAGCGCCAGGAACTCAGTGCAGGGCTCAGCAACCCTGTTATGTGAAGCATCCTCACTGCCTCCCTGCATCTGCACTGACTGGAAGCTGGAGTCCAGGTATTCTGGTAAAAGTGTGGGTGCCTAACTGCCTGCACTCCTAGATTTTCTGATGTAGGGAGGCCTGTGTGCCTGTCACTTTGTCCAACTCAGAAAGTCCTGCCTGGATCCCAGAATAGAGGAACGTGTGGCTCTGAGTGTGGCCACACGGAGCAGTACCCTAGGTCTCCAATCAAGATGAGCCAGGCTAAGCAAAACCCAGGAGGTGCTTCCCAACGAGTGCAGAAATGGCTCCAGGCCCACTCTGGGAAGCCACAAGTGCCCCGACCCCTTGCTCTCGCCAGCAGTTGGGCAGCCCTCTGCCTGCCCCCAGGTTAGCAGTTCTCCCCCAGCCTGTCTTCAACATCTCAATCCACTCCGCCCAAGGGACCCCAGCAAAGGAGGAAACTCACACAAAGAGCCCACATTCCACTTCTGTCTCAGCCCTTTGGAGAGTGCATAAGAAAGTTTAGGAAATAATATAATGAAAAGATCTGTTTATTTTGATGCAAAGGAATTTTAAGATGCATAGTTTTTGCATACTATGAATTTTTCATGAGCTTTCTCAAAATCTTTGGTGTGCCTGAATTACTTTTCTTTTTTGGCACCAAAATAAACTAACTCTGGGTTGCATGTTCCATGAAACTTCTAAAGTACACCCTCTTGAGGCTCCCAAATCTGACGTCTGTCTTCTGAGGCCTACATGAACTAACCATCCGAAAGCAGTGTTGAGAGAATTGATTTACAATGAACGTGCAGATGGGGCCGGTGCTGCGCCGGCATCCCATGTAGGCGTCGGTTCGAGTCTTGGCTGCTGCTCTTCTGATCCAGCTCTCTGCTATGGCCTGGGAAAGCAGTGGAAGATGGCCCAAGTCCTTGGGCCCCTGCACCCGCATGGGAGACCTGGAAGATCTTGCCTCCTGGCTTCAGATCCGCTCAGCTCCCGCCGCTGCAGCCATTTAGGGAGTGAACCAGAGGATGGAAGATCTGTGTGTGTGTGTGTATGTGTGTGTCTCTCTGTAACTCTGCCTTTGAAATAAATGAATCTTTTTTTTTTTAATGTGGGCGGAGAAAGACTTTCTCAAATTCTCCAGAGACGGACTCAGTATTGCCCCACCGGCTTCTTGGGGTCCTTCCTAACCCTTAGGAAACCAGGCTTCCGGCGCCCCTCAGCCCCAGAGCGTCTGGAACTCTGGGGGGTCAGCTGAACCCTCGTGGGTCAGCCCAGCAGTTAATGCAAAGCTCCTGGTCTGACAGATGGGAGCCCCGCAGGCCTGCAGAACGGGGGTTTAAGCAGCCAAGCCATTGGGAAATTGCAAGGAATCTAAAGTCCAAACTCAGGTCACCGGCAGGAGCTGGCCACAAAAGCCACCGTCCACGTTTTCATCTCAGAGGAAATTGGAAGTGGCCCGGAGAGGAACCGGAAGTCCCGCCTTCTGGCTGCTCAAGCCCTTGCTGTGGCTGTCGCAGATCTGCTGGCCCATCTCCACTGCTGCATCTACCTCAAATGTCTCTGACGCCCAAGGTGGCCACAGCTTCTGCTGGGCCTGGGCTGCCTCACCAAGTGCTGGGAGGGGACCTCAGGAGGTCTCTTCCGCCCTGGGCCTGGAGCAGCGCCTGCAGCAGGCACATGGAAAACATGGCGGACACTGCTGCAGCCGGAAGGGGCGGTGTTTTGCAGCCGGAAGGGGCGGGTCGCTGCCCCTCAGGGCTTGGTGGAAGTGCTGGAGGAGGAGGCCCTCGCCGCCGGGCGCCCGCTGACAGGAGCGTGGCTTCCCAGTCACTCAGACCTGCGTCACTCTGTGGGGGCAGGAAGTGAAGAACGGGATTTAAGCCGGAGACTGGGCGTGGGGGAAGGAGACTGACAGGCAAGGCCGAGTTCCAGCGGAGTGGGGCGTTTTCCCAGCACAGGCCGTGGCCACGGTGCCACCTGCCGGGTAAGAGCCGGTCAACCCGGGTTCGAATCCGTGCTCCTCCGATTGACTGTCTTCACCTTGCTAAACCTTCATTTCCTCTTCTGTCAGACGGTGCCAGTGGGTTGTGAGGATTAAGGAGGGCGATGTTTGTAAAGCCTGTAGCAGAGGGAAGCTGCCTGCCCCTGCGTGTCTGTTCTCGTCAGTGGCAGCCGTGGCAGCGTTCCCACGCCACTTACCTTTCCGGAAGCCCCGAGTATGTGAAAGGTCGGAGCTTGCACGTGGAGTGCCTGCTGCACCGCAAGGATAAGCGGTTTTCTGTCCCTGGGGCGGTGCGAACAGAGATGCTGGGTAGCGTGGCTCGCTTTCCTCTCCATCGACTTCGCAGGCGGCCTCTCACCGCGGGTTCCGAGTTCACCCTCTCCTCGCTTCGTTTTCAGATCTTTGAATCACATCCAGTTTGGTTTCCATCCTTAACACTTTGCAGCTCTCCGCTGCCCGTCCATCTTTTTTTGATCAAGGCCTTCTTTTTTGTTAGCTCTAGTTGTAAAATGTCCCGTGGATTGATCACTGGGGGAGCGGAACAACCGAGGTCACCGTCGCCATCATTCACCAACAGACTTGACGTGACCGGGGAGGGTGCTTGGGGCGGGGGTTAGAAACGCTGCTTGGCATTCTCACACCCCAAGGCTGAGTGTCTGAGTCCAGGTCCTGGCTCGGCTCCTGATTCCAGCTTCCTGCTGATGCGCAGTCTGGGAGGCAGTGGTGATGGGTTGAGGTGGTTGGCTCCCTGCCGCCCACATGGGAGACTCACATTGAGATACAGGTGCCTGGCTTCGGTCTGCTTCAACCCCAGCTGTTGCAAGCATTTGGGAGTAAACCAGTAGATGAGCGATATCTCCCCCCTACCCCGCCCCGCCACCGCCGCCCTTCTCTCCCTCTCAAATAAATAATTTTTTAAGTGACATAATTTGTCACCGATCATAATGTGCATCTCTTATTTACATACTGATTTCTGGACTCAAAAGCTCGCAGCAAGTTTGTACCTCATGCAGTTACTCTCACTTCACGGACAATGGTAGCCAGAATCTGAACCCTATTGTTACGGGACTGGCGTTCTTGAACTAAACTGTCGTGACCCAAGTTTGCATATTAGAACTGTGCAAAGCAAGGACTGTCTGAAATGAGTATGGATTTTTTTAAAGATTTATTTTTATTAATTTGAAAGGCAGAGTTAGAGAAAAGTAGAGAGAGGGAAAGAGAACTTCCATCCACTTTTCACACCCCGAATGGTGGCAACAGCCAGGGCTGAGCCAGGCCAAACCAGTGCTCCTATGGAATGCAGGTGGCAGCTTTAACCTACTGTGCCACAGTGCCAACCCTGGTCATACGTGCTTGATTCCTTCTTACTATACTCATGTAATCCTCCCAATTCTATGAGGAAGATAGGGTTGTTAACACCATGTAGGGTTTTAATGTAACCTTGGGTGCCTCCTAAGGGCCCCAGTGTTAAAGCTGTTGTCCTGGGGTAGCAAAAACCGAGAGGAGGCAGAACCTTCGGGAGGTCAGGCCTAGGGGGAGGTCCTTAGGTCACCGAAGGCCCTCAGAGGTGGGTCTTGACAGGGTTATTATACAAGCCAGAACTGGGCGCGGGGGAGGGAGGGCAGCGTTGTAGCTCAGTGGATAAAGCCACCACCCATGATACCAGTGTTCCATATGGACCTCGATTCAAGTCTCAGCTGCTCCACTTCTGATCCAGCTCCCTGCTAATGTGCCTGGGAGAAGCAGCAGAGTATCATCCAAGTGCCTGGGCCTCTGCCACCCATGTAGGAGGCCAGGATGGAGTTCCTGGTTCCAGCTTCTGGCTTCAACTCAACCCAGACCTGGCTGTTGTGGCCATTTGGGGAGTGAACCAGCAGATGGAAAATCTCTCTCTCTCTCTCATTCTGCCTTTCAAATACATACATAAATCTTTAAAAAAAAAAAAAGATAATTTTCTATGAACTTTTTAAAGCTGCTTCTTTGTCTCGACTACAAGTGAAGTTCTATCAAGTCCAGCCCAGAATTCTGGTTTATAGAAACTTTTCAAGTAAGAAAAAAATCATTGAAAAATCAGAATGCCTTAGAAGTTGTCTTGGGGTCATTTGTTTGTTTGTTTTGTTTCCAGGAACTTAAGAACCCTTGGAGCACATGAGGAAGAGGAGTTTGCTCCAGAATTTGTGGAGGGAGACACCATGAGGTGGCCAGATCTCCTGGCGGGATGGATGGGCTGACAGATGTGCTGGGAGCTGGCCCAGGTCCAGGGATGTGGGAGGGGATGGGGTGAGGAAGGGAGCGCTCAGTGCCCCTGGGAGCCAGCCAGGTACTGTGTTTGTTGAGCACTGACTGCTGCACAGGCCCTCAGCCTTGTACTAGGTTGATTTGGAGAAAGGACTTCAAAGGGCAGAGCACTGAATATCCCCAGCTACTCTCCTGGCTTTTCCAGGACAATATGGATTTCAGATTTCCTCTCTTGCTGTCCCTTGAGCTGTCGCATATGCTTTAGAAATCCCAGCACTGTGGTATCTAAGCACATCTTCAAAATTGCCTCTTTCATCTAACCCTCTTATTTTCTTTGACACAAAATCCTTTCCCTAAACACATATCTCAGATTTGGAGCTTAGATAAGGCAGTCATCAACCAAGCACCGTCACCAAAGCAATCGTCAAAAAGGACAGAGTGTACAAAGACACACGTTTAAAATTTAACCATCGCTCACCTTTGTTGAGCAGCCGTTTAGTGTGGCCTCTCAGAATTTATAAGTTTAGAAAAAAAATTTTTTTAAGATTTATTTATTTGAGAGGTAGAGTTATAGACAGGGAAAGGGAGAGACAGAAAGATCTTCCATCCACTGGTACACTCCCCAAATGGCCACAGTGGCCAGAGCTGAGTCAATATGAAGCCAGAAGCCAGGAGCTTCTTCCAGGTCTCCCACGTGAGTGCAGGGGCCCAAGCACTTGGGCCATCTTCCACTGCTTTCCTAGGCTATAGCACAAAGCTGGATCAGAAGACAGGTATCCGGGACATGAATTGGTGCCCATATGGGATGCCAGCACTGCAGGCAGAGGCTTAGCCCACTATACCACAGTGCCCTCCCCAGTTTAGAAAAGTTTAAAGTTTGTTTTCTTGGTGCAAAAAAAATGTATCCTTTAGTTCTTTTTGAACTTCCAGAGTACATATTAGCTTGGTAAATAATTTGAAACCTTTAGGACTTATTATGGTGACTGTCGTTTGAGCTGCCTTTCCATGATTCAGTATGCCTGATCGTGGCTTCAAATGTAGGTGAATTTTTAAAAGGTACTGTGCCGTGGCGCAGTGGGTTAAAGCCCCAGCCTGCAGCGCCAGCATCCCTTATGGGCACCAGTTCAAGTCCTAGCTGTTCCTCTTCCAATCCAGCTCTCTGCTATGGCCTGGGAAAGCAGTGGAGGATGGCCCAAGTCCTTGGGCTCCTGCAACCACGTAGGAGACCCAGAAGAAGTTCCTGGCTCTTGACTTTGGATCAGCTCAGCTCTGGCCATTGTGGCCATTTGGGGAGTGAATCAGCAGTTGGAAGACTTTCTCTATCTCTCTCTCTCTCTCTCTCTGCATGTGTGTGTGTCTCTACCTGTAACTTTGTCTTTCAAATAAATAAAAATAAATCTTTAAAAAAAAGGTTCATATAAAGTTCTCACATAGGTGCATAAAGACTTCTGATGAGACTATGCATTGGAAAATACAGTGAACAGTGTGACATAAACACAGACTCAGAGCCCCCAGCTGACTTCAGCTAACTGAACTCCAATGCGTTCTGCTGTTCCTGACTGTTGGAAGTGCGGGGAAGGCAGCCGAGCCTCCTAAGACCTCTCTGCCTCAGGTCTGCGTTGACCTTTGATCTCTTCCGGCTTATCCTTGTCTGTTCCCCAGCAGCGGAGCAAAGAGTTGGGAAAGTGTCTGCGCCGCCGCTAACTCTTCTCTCGGGACCCTGACACTTACCACAGTCCAAGGAAGCATCTGCTGCTGCGCTGGTAACTCTCCCCCGAGTGAGACAAAGCAAGGGCGGCGTCCGGCTCCTTCCCCAGCACATACTGACACCCAGCCCATGTCTGTGAGTTAATCAGTGAGATGTAAGAGAAGACAGAGGGACACCGTTCTCTAGGATGGAACGCGGTGTGAGTTAGACTCACTATGCAGAGGGCGAGGGATTAAATCTACATGGGTTGGGGTAGGGTGAGAACGACTCCAGAGTTTAGTTTCTCTGCTGTGGGTCCGCGCAGAGGTGTATGTTTTACAAGGAGGACTATTAGATACTGGGAGGAGGGAAAAGAAATTTTGTATACTGGGATTACCAAGAGAAGGCAGAAAATAAGTTGATAGAAAAATCAAAGTGAAAATGAGTTTTTAAAATTTTTGGCCAGTGCCACGGCTCACTAGGCTAATCCTCCGCCTGCGGCGCCGGCACACCAGGTTCTAGTCCTGGTCGGGGCGCCGCATTCTGTCCCGGTTTCCCCTCTTCCAGGCCAGCTCTCTGCTGTGGCCCAGGAAGGCAGTGGAGGATGGCCCAAGTGCTTGGGCCCTGCACCCTATGGGAGACCAGGAGGAAGCACCTGGCTCCTGGCTTCGGATGGGCGCAGTGTGCCGGCCGTGGCGGCCATTTGCGGGGTGAACCAACGGAAGGAAGACTTTTCTCTCTCTCTCTCTCTCTCTCTCTCACTGTCTAACTCTGCCTGTCAAAAATAAGTAAATAAAAGAAGTGGAGCGGGAACTGAAGCCCAGACACTCCGTATGGAATGCACGTAGACACGAGCACTCAGGGAGCGATGTCAGCAGCGAGCTGGGGAAAGACCACATGTAATGGACTGTGGGGTGCTTCAAACAGCTCCTGGAAAATGGGATTCAAAGGGAAGTTTGTTTTGGTGCAGAAAATCTTTGAAACCCACTTATATAAAGGGTTTTCAAGAAGTACCTGGAAATGCATGTTATTAAAAAAAACATGGATTTCAAAAGGT